TGCTCTTCCCCTGGCAGCCCAAGATCGTGGAGGCCCTGCTGGGCTACGAGATGGTGCAGGTGGCTTGTGGCGCGTCTCACGTCCTGGCGCTTTCCAACGAACGGGAAGTGTTCGCCTGGGGCAGGGGGGATAACGGTAAGAGATTCCTGCTTCACGCAGCAGGGCTTGTGCATCCCGTTGCCTGTTCCCACTCCCCTGGCCGGCCCTGCTTGCCCACGCTCCCTCCAGATGTGCCAAGCGGGTGTGGAAAAGCTGTGGCTGCTTCACCGCATTCCAGGGGCTCCCCCCGGCCCTGTCTTTGGGTTTCGCCTCCTTCTGTGGCCACAGGGCCCTGGCTGGGGTCTCGCAGCCGGTGTCGACGCCGTCACTCAGGGGGTGGGTGCTCAGTCTGGGGGTTGCCATCAGCCGTGTTTTTTTCCCGCTCTGTTCCTCCTGCCAGGTCGGCTCGGGCTGGGGACCCTGGAGGGCCACAACTCCCCCCAGCAGGTCGCAGTCCCGCCGGAGCACGAGGCTCAGAGGGTCATCTGCGGCATCGATTCCTCCATGGTCCTCACAGCGAAGAACCACATTCTGGCTTGTGGGAGCAACAGGTGAGAGGGACCGTGCTCCAGAGCTTGCCTACAGCCTCCTGGGTCTGTCCAGCCCTGGAAGAGGGAGCGAGGGGTTCTGGAAGATGTCTCCATGGGATCCTATTCCCCAGCCTTTTGTTGCTGGCCGTGCGGTTGTGCTCGGGCAGGATTTGGGCTGCGTTCGGCCAGCTCTGAGCTGTGCTTTTCCCCATGCAGGTGTAACAAGCTGGGCCTGGATCGGATCGCCTCGGCAGAGGAGCCGTCCCCAGAGGACCAGGTGGAAGAGGCCACCGTGTTCACGTGCGTCCAGTCGTTCCCCTTGAGCCAGGAGCCGATTGTGTGTGCTGACATCGGTACGGCGCACTCGGCCGCAGTCACAGGTGAGGGACGTGTGCCCAAATCCCTTGTGGGGGGGACCTGCCTTTTTGCTGTCCTCCTCCTGCCTCCGTTTCCCATGGGCCGATGCTCAAGAGGCCTCCCTGCTCCCAGTTTTGGAGCTCTGTGGAACAGGATGGCAGAGAGCAACAGGGTTTAGGGGCTTCAGCGCATCCTCTAGTGACACCCAGTTGTTTCTCTCGTCCCTGTTGTCAGCTTCCGGCCAGTGTTACACCTTTGGGAGCAACCAGCATGGGCAGCTGGGCACCAACTCCTGCCGCAACAGCCGCGTACCCCACCTGGTTGTGGGGCTCCAGGCGACGAAGGTCACCGTGGTGGCTTGTGGGGATGCTTTCACTGTGGCCATCGGAGCAGGTGAGGCCCTGCCTTTCCTCTGCCTGCAGCCCGTGCCGTGGCCAAGGCAGGCCTTGGAGATAGCCCGGTGCCAGGGAGAGAGGAGGCTGCTGGGAAGCTCCATGTGCAGCAGTATGTGCTTCCACAGATGGCGAGGTGTGCACGTGGGGAAAAGGAGCCAGGGGACGCCTGGGCAGGAAGGATGAGGAAACGGGAGCACCGAGGCCGGTGCAGCTGGAGGAGACGCATCCATACCTGGTGACCTCCGTAGCCTGCTGCCACGGGAACACGCTGCTGGCAGTGAAGCGTGAGTAGAGGCTTCGTTACTCTGATTCCTGCCATGAGAGCCCAGCCACACACGACGCCTCGTGCCCAGCGCGGCACCGACTAACCCTGGCACTCGAGCTCTGCGTTATTCTAGTCCCTCTAAAGCTGTAGATGAATAGAAATAACCTGAAGCCTCTAAACTTTCCCCGTCTGCTACGCAGCGCAGTGCCACAGCCGCTTCCGCCGGGCTGCGGGAGCAGAGGGACAGCAGAGCCATCCTCGTCCACTCCCAGGCCCCAGGGCTGGCCAAGCCACCACCGGTGGGGAGCTGGTGTGTTGGCGGTGCACCCGGTATCCAAAAAGAGCAGCTCCCTAATTGCTGCTGCTGAAATAGAAGCTGAGATTTGAGGCGTCATTTTGGCTGCTGGCTTTCCAGTGTGGTTTGGAAAAGATAACGATGGGTTTGTGGTTCTTCTCTGCTGGGGCCAAACACGGCATCGTTGTGCGGTTAAAACGTGCCCGTGGCGTGACCTGCCCTTCCGTTGCTGGGATGTAGGATGGGAGCCTGGCCCAGACTGCTGGAGGGGCCTTTCTTTCTCCTCTGCCGGGCTGATTATGGCCTCAGCGCCGGGCTGAGGGATTCCAGCCCACTTCAAGAAGGCTAATTACACCCCGGAGGGGAGGAGGCCCGGCTGACTGCCCCAGCGCTGCGGCATCGGCCCTGGCTCCTGTTCCTTCCCCGCGAGCGCCCAGCCCTCACGTGGTGCGTGCTGCCACGTGAAGGGGATGGGAATGGCCGAGTCCCCGGGAGCAAGCAGGGCATTTGTCATGGAGGTAAAAAGGGTTTTTTTCTGCAGGCTGCTCTTCCCTTCCGCTGCCGGAGTCGCCCTGCGCTCCGTGTTTGTGGGCTCCCACCTGCAGCGCCGTAGGAGCGGGGACTGAATGTAGCCCCACTGCTGACCCCCCGCACTGCCCAGCCCGAAACCTCGATCCTCCTTCCCGGTACAAACCCAGCAGCAGCGGTGGGGCAGCGGCCTTGCCCGCTCCAGCATCCCTCCGTAACCAGGGTACCAAGAGCACTGAGAGCTCTCTGAAAAGCTACACACTGACTGCACTTTCGTGGAATCATGGAATGGTTTGGGTTGGAAGCGACCTTAAAGCCCATCTAGTTCCAACCCCCCTGCCATGGGCAGGGACACCTTCCACCAGCCCAGGTTGCTCCAAGCCTCATCCAGCCTGGCCTTGGACACTTCCAGGGATGGGGCATCCACTGTTTCTCAGTCTGCCTGGAAACCTCTCCGGAGAGAGCACAAGAGCTGGCGACATGTTTGATGCTGCCGCGCTGCCGGCTCCGGCTGTGAGCTGACCCGGAGAGGGTGCTGGCACAGGCGAGCGGTGCTGCACCTTCGGGTGCCGCTCTGCGGTTTCCTCCCCCGCGGCCAACAACGCTTTTAACCAACTTGGGCTTCTGCCCACGTTATCGTGAGGCGGTGGCTGCGCCCTCCTCTCAATCCCAGTGCAAACACAGGAATAACTGGGAGAAGCCGGGCGTGCTGGAGAGGTGCAGGCGTGGTGATCGCATTTCCTCCTGCGTGCTGGGCACTGCAGTGCCCATCTGTTGGGTGTCTGGCCTGCGTGGGGCAGGGCCCTACTCCCTGTAGCTTCATCGAGACGGTGACTTAACAGCTTATCCTTGCTCCTTTCCCCTTTGTGTTCCAGCTGCCGTGGAAGAGTCGCCCTCCCAGTGAGCTGGAGTTGAGAGGGGCCATATCCATCCTCGTACGGATGCGGATGCACCCCCAGCTGCCAGGCATGCCTGTCCTTTCGCTGCCGCCCGCTACGGCCTGCCTTGGACCTGTATCCCCAGACTCCAGAGCTCCTCCGCTGTGCTCCGAAGGCCTGGAAACAGAGAACTCCTAACGATGGTTCCCACGGAACCGTAGCTGCTCTCCCTGAGGGTCACTGCGATCCTCCAGCGCTCGGGAGCTGCTGCCCAGGACGTGCCGGCGGGGCGGGGGCCCCCGGCGCCGCCG